CCCGGTGTCGCTCCACGACCTGCAGAAGGTGCTGTCGCTGTTCCTCGTCGCGCGTAATGGCGCCGCAGAACGCGCTGATGAGGGCGACGCCCCTCGTGCTCTTTTTTTTTTTTGAATCTTGATTAGCTCCAAGGTGTCCGCGCGTTCGATGTCGAAAAGCGTCCTCAGCTCAGCGTCCAGTAAGAATTCCGGCGATTCTCGACTTCAATTGAAAGATATTAGCTCGCCAGTAGGTGACCGTTGTGTGTTAGGCGTGCGTTTGAGTTTGTCTCCGGCTGCTGAGAGCAGCGATGGAATGGTTAGTTAGTCAGGAGGTGATCGTTCGGGCAACATTCAGCCCAGCCAGTGTCACGCATGGCAAACAGGGCACAGTTAAAATACACATGTTCACCCTATTGAGACCAGTTGTTATGGTGGAAACTTTGGCCGCTTTGCGGGACAGGAAAATATCATCAGATCGGAATGAAATTTTGCACAGAACCTTGTACCATAGTATCGACAAGAATTCCGACCCGGCCCGACGAATCCGACAAACTTTTTTTTTTGCCATGAAAATGTGGACCACCCTATTGTACATGCATATACTTTGTAATTGCACAACTAGTGAATATTGTCCTTTCTTTTTGCTGTTTGATAGGAACCCTCTTTTGCGAGTTGACCTGATCTTTGGAAAAGAGGAGGAGGAAGGATACAACGCACACCAAGAATATGTGCAAAAATGGCAACAATACATGAAAGCACACGACTTTGCATCCTAAATCCATTCAAAAAACTAGACCAAGAGGAAAAACACACTATGACAAGAGAAGAGGGGAAAGTGCCTTTTCCCAGGTGACAAGGTCCTCGTGAGAAACATGTCAGAACGTGGAGGACGAGGAAAGTTGCGCTCAAATTGGGAGAGTCAAGATCTCTCAAAAGGAGACAGTGACTGTGAGGTAAGAAGCTGAATGTTGCACAGGGAGAGGCAGAATCCTAAATCGTAACATGTTAATGCCATGCAACTCCTTACCACTCAAGGTACAGGAAAAAAGTGGAATCTTCATATCCAGCAAGAAACAGCATCACCAAAGCATCTGATGGAAGCATCAGCAGACTCAGACACCTCAAATAAGGAAGGGTGGCATGAGGAACTACTAGCACCAACCTGCAGAGCAAAATGTTGCCCCCTCATGACGCCTGAAATCGAACCAAAATTCGGAATGGAGGTTCCAGGTCAAATAGTTTTGGACAATGACCCTCATGAAACCTTCACAACGGGAAATGACAGTCAAGACACACACCATTCAGTCTGAACAATTAGCTCAGGTACATGCAACGGAGCCTTCTGACACACAACCACACAGGTCACAGAAAGAAAGAGGATTTGAAGTGACATTCACATATGATTCATTTGGCAGCCAGGCAACACACCAACCTGATAATGGTTAATACACTGCGCCTTGGCTATTGCCACAGCTGTCTAGTTTACAGAGGGCTTTTATCCTAAACTTGTTTTTGCAGGATACACCTGAAAAACTACCACATCAACTTCGTGTTTGTGAACTGAGTGGTTACTATTCATCAGTGACAACATGGAACAATGAGAATTGAGATTTTAAAAAATAATACTAATGAGGTGACGTTACGCACGCAATATCATATTTGGTGTTAAAATGTTATTGTCAGGGCGGCCCCACCGGGCCAGTGGTTAGCGCGTCGACCTCACAGTGCAGAGGTACCGGGTTCAATTCCAACTCCTGTGTGGAGTTTGCATGTTCTCCCCGGGCCCACGTGGGTTATCTCCGGGGTACTCCGGTTTCCTCCCACATTCCAAAATCATGAACGGCAGGCTTATTGAACACTCTAAATTGTCCCTAGGTGTGAGTGTGAGCGCGAATGGTTGTTGGTTTCTGTGTGTCCTGCGATTGGCTGGCAACCGGTTCAGGGTGTCCCCCGCCTACTGCCCGAAGACAGCTGAACGGGAAATGACAGTCAAGACACACACCATTCAGTCTGAACAATTAGCTCAGGTACATGCAACGGAGCCTTCTGACACACAACCACACAGGTCACAGAAAGAAAGAGGATTTGAAGTGACATTCACATATGATTCATTTGGCAGCCAGGCAACACACCAACCTGATAATGGTTAATACACTGCGCCTTGGCTATTGCCACAGCTGTCTAGTTTACAGAGGGCTTTTATCCTAAACTTGTTTTTGCAGGATACACCTGAAAAACTACCACATCAACTTCGTGTTTGTGAACTGAGTGGTTACTATTCATCAGTGACAACATGGAACAATGAGAATTGAGATTTTAAAAAATAATACTAATGAGGTGACGTTACGCACGCAATATCATATTTGGTGTTAAAATGTTATTGTCAGGGCGGCCCCACCGGGCCAGTGGTTAGCGCGTCGACCTCACAGTGCAGAGGTACCGGGTTCAATTCCAACTCCTGTGTGGAGTTTGCATGTTCTCCCCGGGCCCACGTGGGTTATCTCCGGGGTACTCCGGTTTCCTCCCACATTCCAAAATCATGAACGGCAGGCTTATTGAACACTCTAAATTGTCCCTAGGTGTGAGTGTGAGCGCGAATGGTTGTTGGTTTCTGTGTGTCCTGCGATTGGCTGGCAACCGGTTCAGGGTGTCCCCCGCCTACTGCCCGAAGACAGCTGGGATAGGCTCCAGCACCCCCCGTGACCCTTGTGAGTATAAGCGGATTGGAAAATGAATGAATGAATGTTATTGTCATGTTTATATCGCTTAGGCTAGGCTAGTTAACCCCTTAAAGTTAGGTCACCCATGGCATTGAAATAATGTAAATGAAATAGTTCCATTGAAGGTACAAATTTCAATAAGACCTCACAATGGGCCATGGGATTTAAAGTGATATGACTGGAATTATTTTGTGTCAAAGCACTAATGGGGTACTGTACTGCTATTACAACTTCTCAGAAGTTAACTATCAATATGTATAAACACTATATACATATTTTTGCAAAAACCCAATGTAATGCATGTAAACCCATTCATGCCATTCAACCTTTTAAAATGGAAGATTGCAATTGTCGACGTGAAACTTCATTAATTTTGGCATCGCATGAGTGTGATTCGGGCTTGTAGCAAATATGGCTAGTCGCTCGTTAGACCACTTTGCAAGCCTCAAGAAACTTTTGTCATAATCATCAAGATGACAGGGGTGTTCCGAAAAAGGGGGCGTGAGTCAATGTTCAAAGGAGGATGAGGACATCCCCGCATCCCAAAATGTTCGCATTCCAAAGTAACGTGACACTTCAGAGGAGCAAAGCGGGAACTGCAAATCTGAACAGACCATTAAACACTTTAGTGTGAATGCAATTTTGAGCGGACAACATCACGAGATATGGGAACCATGCTTCATGTTGTGTTTCGTGTTGAATCTTGTTCTTCAACTTGCTTTATCGAGATGAATTCATTTGTAGAAGACTTACAGCTTTGAGTTACTTCTGGTTGATTGATTGAACAATTGTTAGGTTTCACAGAATTACTATATCCACCCATCCATCCATCCATTTTCTGAACCGCCTATCCCCTGCTGTTTTCAGGCAGTAGGCGGGGGACACCCTGAACCAGTTGCCAGCCAATCGCAGGGCACACAGAGACAAACAACCATTTGAACCCACACTCACACCTTGGGACAATTTAGAGTGTTCAGTCAGCCTGCTATACATGTTTTTGGAATGTGGGAGGAAACCGGAGTACCCGGAGAAAACCCACGCAGGCCCGGGGAGAACATGCAAACTCCACACAGGAAGGCCGGAGCCGGAATCGAACCCAGCACCTCTGCACTGTGAAGCCGATGCTCTAAGCAATTGACCAACACTTTATACCTGTAATATACAAAGTATAATTTTAAAATATATCACCAACGATGTGGCCTCGATTAACTTCATGCCTGTTTCAATTTTTCCTCATTCAAGTGAGTAGGGAATCGAAAAGCCCCCTTGTTTTGACCCAACAACAGGAGTGGCCTGGTTTGATACCACTTCGTGTCCCACACTTCTTTGCCTCTTCTTTTTTGGTCCTGCTCTTTTCTTCTCTCCTGGGCGCAGCTGGGCCCTTACTGGAGGGGCTCCCTTCGTCCCTAGCCTCAACATTTCTTTTGTTTGAAGAATCTTTTTCTTTTGTTGGTTTCAGGCAGTTATGCTGCAAGAGCAAAGACATTGGCGTACACTATATATGCCCTCGCACTGATGTAAGCTTATGTTATAATATTAATTATTGTCATTTTATGTTTGAGCATCAAATTATTTCATGTTAAGAATACCTAAATTATATTCTGTTGTTTGACAATTGCTTAGACATGTTTTTATGTTGATAGGTTCTGATTGGCTCTTGAAGTAAGAGAACCAGGAAGTGATTTTAGTTAAGAGGAGAGTTATGTTCTCGAACGTGCAGCAGTGCGGCCGTCTTTTTTTCCCTTTTAATAAAACTGCATTCAAAGGATTCCATCTCTCCTTTTGCCGTTCGTAAAGTAGAGCTATCCACTAAACACAACGAACCCATCAACTTACACTGATATTAAGACGACAAACTTGTTGTTGTGTTTTTATTTAGGTTACATTTGGTTTTGTTCCCTCAATCCCTTGTGCCCTTTTTGTCCCACCTGTTATCGTCGTCTGTGTACCTTGTGTTTAACCAATCGGCTCCCTCAACCTTTGTGTTTTGTTCAGGTGTTTCTCGTTGTCGCGTCACTTTGCTTGTATTTAGTTACCTGGGTTCTGTCGGTCTGTGTTGGGTGAGTGTTTGTGTGCTCCTGTCACGTTTTGTTTTCTGTCACAGAATATTTTGCTACTTTCGTTAATTGTGGTTTTTCAGGACTTCAAGTATTTGAGCGAGTTTTCTCCTGTGTACCCTGCAAGTGGGTTTTTTGTTTTTTGTTTTGTTTTTGGTTAATACATTTTGTTCAGTCAACCCTGGTCCTCCCTGCTTTTTTTTTTTTTTGCGTCCAACTACCACCTCGCAAAACGTGACACTTGTTGGCCACACAAGATGCCCAGAACTCGCTCCTGTGCACCTTTATTTATTTATTGTCTGGACTCAAATCAGTACAAACTTGTCACAGCTCATTCAGAAGACAATAAGTGAGTGCAAAGGGGTTAAGTTAGTCATGGAACCACGTGTCCATCTTTTCAGGAAGTTAACACAATATTGTGCCAAGATCATCAGAGTTTAATTGTTTTTGTTTTATCTAATTTCATTCCATTAGTTTCTCATTCTTTGCTACTCTTTCCACTGAGTTAGTTCTCTTATGATGTGTTGCTCCCAATTCCCATGTAGAGTTGGAGAATAAACCTGCATTGTGTACTGTGTGTGTGCGCTTAAATGAAAGTTTGGGATGCCCAGAGATGGCAAAAGAAATATACGCAGCAAATTTATGGCCCCGTGAAGCTGAAACTTAAGGATAAGAAATGTTTGTTCCACTCACGGTACCGTGTCCAGAAACTTCTTTTTTTCACTGAGCTCATTTTTCAAGCTTTCAACTTCTACCTTCAACTGGATGTTCTGGAAGGAATAGAAAACATACGGTATCTTAAGAACTTGTACAAAAGGGACAGGTGAAAAATAGTTCATCAATTCAATAGTCAATAATGTGCCCACTTAACGTGGGAGTGTCCAGACAGATACATATGTCAGCTACACAAACTGCTCCTTTTGATTCGGGATGTGTACAAATACAGAGGTGGTGGATAAAAATATATTTTTAAAATCATACATGTCAGAGGAAACTTATGCTATCAACTGTTAAAATACAAACAAGTAACATTTTAAATATGGTACTTTATACAAAGTGATATCTGATTAACCAACAGGTTCTTTGGTCTCAAAATCATATCAAACACCAACTCATTAAATCAGCTCCCGAACGCCAACACACAGTAGTGGAGTTAGGGGCCTTGCGGTGTCAATTCACAACACAAAATGAGTCCCCTTGTCTCCAGGGAGTTTAGTGCAAACTAAGAATAGCTCTAAATAGTTATTTGGGTTATGAACACCTGCTGTATTCGCACCCCTCGCTGTATGCACCAGCTGTCCCTCCTCCCAAGGTCTCCAACAACTGTCAGAAACAAACTGCCTGCTATTCTGCACACATCGACTGTGCAGAAATCTGCAATGTTTTTACTCGTGCAATGAACTTTCTTACAACTGCATTTGTTGTTATTACTGACTTCCTTGAAAAAATCTCCACTTGCAACTTTACAAGTGTACATGCCCAGTGTTCTCAGATGCACACAAGCATCAGGTCACTGGCCTCCTAGAAGAACATAGTGTGTCATCAGGTCTATCGCTACCAGTGGAAAATAGGTCAGCCAAACACTGGAGGGCAATTCAAACAACCTTTCTCTTGGCAGATATGATTCCTTTTTTTTATGTTTAACACAACAGAAAAGCCCAACAACTTTGACAAGTTATAATGCATATTTTACATGTTGATTTTATGATTATGAGAACTTGCTCATTCAATATATGTTCTGCAAATGTGAAATTAAGTTAACCCTGACATTTAAAAATATTTTTTGATTTATTTGTTTGCTGTCAGAGCCCTTGGCTCAACTCAGTGTGTAATTTGTGGAAAAGCACCAGTGACACCAAAACATTCGATACGATATATTAGTACTGTAGCAGGTCATAATCACATGAAGTTTTGTCATGCTGCCAAAACTGGAAAGCAACATCTTATCATTCCATACAAAAAAAGAAATCATCAAATCAAAACATATCTCTTCAGGATTCAAATTGCTGGATAAGAATCTATTCCCCAAATGACAGCTGTAAATGTTGGTACCAGACCTTACAACAATAACAAAACAAACTATTCTTTGAAAATAAACAGATCATTTGCATTTTGAAAATGGGCGATACAACAGCAAATAACTGAAAATGTTGAGCAGCTGAGATTGAACGAACTTTCGTGCACGAAGGTGACTACAATGCGCCATTATAAATTGCAGGTGAGCAGATTTATTTGATACATTTTTGTATCTTTGTCATTTTATTTCGTTACCATGAATTTAATACTAACGAAATAAAATGACAAGAAGAAATGTAAAATAAAATTCATTGACTCACCAATGTAGTTCTCCACAGCGTCTGCTTATTTGAAAATAAAGTCGATCCTCCTTTGTTTTCTCAGCTAAACTTCAGTGGCTCTGTTGTACAGTTTTCAGGTCCAATAGCAAGTCCTTTTCTATCGACATGGAAGCTAATGCTGAA